GGGGGCAGGCGGGCGTGACCTCAGCCCGGCGCGGAGGTTGGTGAGTGGTGCAGAGGCGGCCGCCGGGGGAGCTGCCAGCCGGGGCTGCCGAGCGAGCCGGGAGCGGGCGGGACCGTGGATGCCGGCAGCAGCTAGAGCGCCCAGAGGGGGCAGGGGGTGTCCGGGGTGGAGAGGCGGCGGGCAGGTGGGCGTGAAACCGTTTCCCTACCCCCTTGAAAGCGGAGCCAGATGGTGAGTTCAGGAGCCTCTCTAGAGAAGAAGGCATCGCGGTTTTCAGGTGACCTGCACATGGCAAGAAAAGCCAGTTGGCATCCTGCGTCCTCTACTCTTCCTTACATCGCCTGGAAGAACAAATCCATTATGCATCATTTTCTCCGGGCTGTTTCTGCATCCGCCAATTACGGGGGGGATTTAACAGCTTAGAGTAAAAGGCGCCCAAGTGTAGCCCTGATCTGAGTCTAAGCTATAGGGGGAATATTCCCACCGTATTCCAATAGCCATCTTTCAGCGTCTGGGATAAAGTTACAGTACCTGGAGAGCAGCTGTGAGTTTGTATAGTTCCTGCTACCCACTCTTAAAGCTAAATTACCCACCGTGGTTTCTTCCCAACAAGAGGTTACGTTATTGTACACATTATATATCTGTTTTATTTGCCTCTCTAAAGGGGATACTAATGCTCAAAGGGCCCGTGGGTCCCTAACATCTCAGAGGAAACAGCTTGTAATGACTCAGCACTGTCAAGTAAGTACTTTGTTGTTGTCTCCTTCCCCGCTCAGGTGGTCCCAACTGGAGTTCCAGAGAGTGCACTCTTAGACTTGTCCTATCCAAACAGTAGAAGATTTTTCAGAGTATATAGTGTTAAATCATTACTTGGGTATTGACCTGAAATGGAATCAAATGTCATAGACTTTGAGTGTTAGGAAGTTTGATGGAGATAGAATCGGACAAGATTTTGACTGTTGAATAACCACATCCAGAGATAGAACCATACTGGGTCCTGATGTTATCATTAATCCCTCATTCCTGGCCTTGGGTTAAAGTTAATGAGGGCCAGACACTGGGTGCCTTATAGCATTCATAAACAATCTCCTAAGCCCCCCTGCTGTAAAGGAGACACTAAAGTAGAACTTGGTCTCTGGTGTTGGGTAAAGTCATTTATGTGGTTATGAGGTGGGGGAGGCTACAAACTCAGCTCTATTCCTGGGGCAACAATTTCAGGGCTTTTGAAAATCTAATGCATATCTGTTGACCCTTCTGAGATGAAAGATGTTTAAATCCCTCTCTGTGTTGTGCGCAGCTGTAACTGGTATGCTTTGAGTGAATCCTGGAGCCAACAGTGCATTTCATTTTCTGTTTTATAAAATGCAATCATTTTTGTCAGTAGTTATAATACATAGTTGCAGACGGTACCTGTGGATTTTGGAGGTAGGGGATAACAGTGTTTTGGGGGATCAGTTTATCTGAGCTTCTGTAGGGGGTTGTGTGTGGAGGGGGGGTGAGGGGTGCTGGGGATTGAACTTAGGACCTCACACATGCTCGGTTAGTACTTTCATCTATGAGCTGTGCAACCAGCCTGAGGCACATGTATTATTAAGATGCAAATGCGCATTAGTACAATATATGTGGATCAATACTGTAGCATATATGCAGAGTCCATTGTATCTAACCAGGTCTGTGTGTAAAAGGAGGTAAAATTAGTATATCAACAGCTGCCTCCAGTTTTAACAGTTTGCCTTAAACCAACATTGCTCAACAGAGTGCCTTATTTGTATGTGGCAAAACAACACCAACAGAACTTTTCATCCCTGGAGTGATGAAAGCATGGGCATATTATTATTATTTTTGCAATGCTCTAAGGGTTTTAGAAGGAAGTGATGTGGGATGTCAGCCAGATGAATGGCCTAGCTCCATTAGAAAGTTGAGAAAGCAGGGTGCTCCTGGAGTGGAGGACTTCTTGAAGCCAGTCTGGCCCCATGAAATGGGAGGTTGACTTGAATCACAGAACAGGGGGTTGACAGGCCGAGGAGGAATTCAGTCCATCTGGTGGCGGCATCCTGGCACTTCTTGGCTGATGGAAAGCCTGATTGGATGGGGTAATGTAACAGGAGTCAACAGGTGCTCTGCAGAAAGCATACGGAGGCCTAGAAGAGGACAGGCCTAGGAAATTGAACTTATTTTGATCACTAGGTCTGGGGCATAAGGTTCTCAGGACTGTGCTTTGCCTGACTGCCCTTGACTTTCTGTGGCCATCTGAACCTCATGAAAATAAATAGGGGTTTGCCAGGGTTGATTGCATCAGCTTGCTATGGGCCTTGTTCTTCTGGGCTACTTCAGAGTTTTCTCTGCATCTGTAATTTGAGAGGCAAACCAAAAAAAAAAAAAAAAAGTATGTTGTTCCTTCAGCCATAGGAGACCTCTTTCTGGATAATTGGAGAATAAGCTAGTGCAGGATGTTTGCAGGAAAAGCAGATTTTTTTTCTTTGTAACGGATCATGGTTTCCTGGGAAACCTAAGATGCAGTGTCTATAGGTGACCACACTGGCAGGGTCCATAGGCATGATGTATGTATATGTGGTCTTTACACTGGGAATCAGCTTTCCCTTCTGATTTTCACATATCTGGTGAAGGGCTTGCCAGAGGACATGGCCAATTGTGCTTAATTTCAAAGAGGAGGGTGATTGCAAATGTGAGTCCAGTGCATTATTTCCTATTTGATTCTAAAAGTCAACGCAGCTATCTTATTTTTTCTTCCCAGGTGTCTTTTTTTTTTAAAAAAAATAATATTGGGAAGTTTCATTTCATTTCTCCCTTTTTCCCTTTTTCTTCTGAATAGATAATTTCCCAGTGTTCTCAGTGTGTCCTCAATGCCACTGATATAGGCTTCCCATCTGCAAAACTGAAGTAGGTAGTTGCCTGGGATTGAGAAACAACTTAGAAAAGCAGGACTTGTGTGTGTTTGTTTCCCTTGAAAACTCACCTAGAGGGAAACTTAGGCAGAACTGTACATGAGAAAGCCAGCAATTGTTAGGCTAGACTGCAGACCTGCAACTTTTTGCCAGAGGTCAGGGCCTTCCAGGGCAGTGCAGAAGGACATTGATCTTGATCTCAGGGATGATATGGATAAGGTGCTATAGACAATGTAAACCCAGTGCAACCTGGATCAGCTGTGTATTTTGAAATCTGTTGCAATTGCAGATGTCTTAATTAGAAATCATGCTTCACATAAGCCAACAGTTAGAAGGATGTTCTAACATAGTTAAACTGCCTGGCTGGCCATGAAATAATTTTTTCAAAGTAAAGAATAGAAGCCCATTCAATTTAATATGTCATTGTGCACAGAACAGAGAATGCAATGTGATTTTTTTTTTTTTTGAGTACCAGGGATTGAACTCAAGGGCTCTTGGCTACTGAACCACATCCCCAGCCCTATTTTGTATTTTATTTAGAGACGGAGTCTCAGTGAATTGTTCAGTGCCTTGCTTTTGCTGAGGCTGGCTTTGAACTTGTGATCCTCCTGCCTCAGCCTCCCCAGCTTATGAGATTACAGGCACTACTGTGCTCAGCTGCAGTGTGGTTTTCTTGTACTTGTGTTTCTGCTTTGTGTGCTCCAGTCTGACCTATTTGCAGGATGTAACATCTGTATGAGTCTGGGACTGTTTGGAGGAGGTGCAGGCATATGGGAACTTCATGGAGAGAAAGTAATTTTGTGTGCAGTTTATCTGTGCTTTGTAGGGACCCACTGAGATGTTTCAAGTCATTCACGGAGGGTAGCCTTGCATGGAGAGGGTGTGTATGTTATCAAATTACTGAGAACTAGAGGAGATAAGGATGTGTACAGGAAATTAAAACTGCTGACACCTCTGGGCAGTGACGACTGAGGCTCGCATACAGATGCTTTTGAATTTCTTCAGGATGAAAACTGAAAAAAAGGCCAGTCTAGTCTTTTGGGTGGGGCACCCAGGCAGCTCCTATGAACTGGGGGTGGGTATTTCCCTATTGAGAGTCATGCAGAAGTATGCCTGAGGTTGTGGTGACAAAGTAATGACATAGATGACTGAGTGTGGTAAACGGATCTCCATCTCACCGCTTTATAGTCACTTATTTTTAGGCCTGAGAACATTCAGTGGGCTTGCAATTAAGGGGTGAGGTGGAACGGCTGGATTTGTTATTCTTATTTTTTTTTTTTTCCTCTTCTTTCTAAAGAAGCATCGTTTTGAAGATAGGTTTTTGCATATCGAGCCCAGAGGCAGACAGCTGAGAGACATTTTTAAAGTCCTTGTCAAATTAGTATGATGACTAAGGTAACTGTATTTTACTTAATGAAATTATTTTATACACTTATGGTTACTTGAAGTGACAAATTCGCTGCCATTTGCATAATTACTATATAGCCCTGGGTAGTAAGAAGTAAAATTACTCTGATTTTTTTTTTCTTTCTTACAGCTTGGTTTAGACTGTTTAGCTAATAATCATTAAGGGAAAATATGTATTTCTGAAAATTCCCTTCAACTAACTTTGTGTACATTCCCTTGTTTCTTGGGGGTTTTCACTTGTGTGTTTAACAGTTGAAACTGAATTAGTTGTAAAGGGGGAGATATCTTTCCTGAATATTGTTAACTCTTCCATTTCAGCATTAGATACTTTATAGAAAGGACAAGCAAGGAGCCTGTGCACAGTGGTGCGCCCTTGCTAATCAGTTGCTCAGTATCTACTGCTCCTCGTACCTGCTGCAGGAATGGCCTTACTCAAGGTCACGCTGTGTGGGTTTCCTCTTGCACAGAGTACCCAGGGAACCGCCAGGCAAGGGCAGCTCCAGCAGGAATGTCTTTTGAGTAATTTTACTTATCTAATAGCAAACTTGGAGGTGCTGCTTTGTCAGGGACTGGGAAGGAGTCAAAGCAGTGTCACAAGAGCCACGTGGAGGTAGGTGCATTTCATGTGCAAGTGGAGGAGAATCAAACTCCATACTTGCTGTATGATAGTAGCTATACTTCCAGCTCCATGAACACATTTAACTTGCATACATGTTACCACCTGTGTCATTGAATAAGCATGTTCCTATGAAGTAAAGCCCTTGTACTTTCTTCGCTTCTCCCTTGCCTATCTATTCATGTTCTGCACATTGCTATGTGCGTTTTATATATTTACACCTTATTCAGGCCCAGGGTTGCGTACACTGATTATGGTATGCAGTACTTTTTGAAGGTGTGAAGGGACATTTCAGTGGTAAT